AAAAAAAAAAAAAAAAAAAAAAATCAAGTTTGTTGAAGTGTTGTCAAGTATAAGGGGCCCTGCCAAGGAAATATCAGGAGGAAGAGCCTTCTAGGTAGATGCAACACAATGCCAAGAAGCCAGAAACAATGCTGTTGGACCAGAACAGCAGTCCTTGTACAAGAAGTTAAGAAGAAGGGAAAGAGTAGCAGGAAAAAATCAGACATAAATATGGACCACTCAAAGAGGGCTTATAAGAACTTTGGTTTGGTATTAGGATATAAAATTTCTAGAGTTCACTAATCTGTGAAGTAGATTAGTACTAAACAGGAAGTGAAATATTCTGACATTTCTTTTATCAGTATAACTTTACACAGATTCAGAGAAATGTAAGAAAGTTATTATGTAGGTGGTTAAGATAGGTTTTAAATTGTTATGGTTTGTGTCTTGTCCCCCAAAGCCTTATGCAGTCATTGGGCAGGCTTCTAGAACTTGTCATTAATTCATGATCTGGTACTGAGATTACTGGTGTGAGTACTGCTGAGATTACACATGTGAGTGCTACACCCAATGACAGCCTATAACACAGTATAAGTAAAGAAGAGAGGCTTCCTCAGTGCTGCTCCTCTACCTACTCCTCCCATTTGCTCTTGCTGTTTTCCACCACATGAATTGCTGGCCTCTGCCATGAGCCACTCTGCGTGGGAGCTAGCTAAGTATGGACTGAAAGCTCCACACACCTTTCTTTCCCTAATTTTGGGTGTCAGGCATTGTGTCCCAGCAACACGAGAAAAGTAACTAAGACAGAACTTGGTACCAAACTACATGACCATGTGGATTACGAGCTTTTGAAAATTGCTTATGGGAAAAGAGAGGAAAGGTTTGTAGATACTGTCTACAAGAGAAGCACTGGAACAGTTTTGGCTGTCGTGTATGAGAGATTCTGGTCAGAGCTCAGAAGACCAGAAGACTGACAGAAATCCTGCCTGTAAAGACCAGGCTGGGGAGGCTTCTTATGGGAAGAAAAACTGCATTGGTTGTTGGAGTTGAAACAATGTGTTATGACGTGGCAAAAAGTTTGAATTTTGCTCATGTCCAGAGACTTTACTTGAGACTGAGATTAAGGGTGGTAGACTGTTTAATCTGGAAAAAGAAATTTCAAGGCAGTTGAATGTTGAGGCATGGTTATTGTTGGGGGCATTTAGTCAGATTTATGTTGAGACTCAAGAGCAAAAAACCCAGCAAGATAATTTAAAATGTTGTGTGTTTGGCCAGAAAGGAAGTGCCAATAAAACTATGGACTGCAAAGATAGAGCTAAGAGGATTGCCACTGCTGAGAATGTACAAGAGAATGGACAGCATGGTCCAAGGGTATCACAGGAGGCAGCAGATCTCTGCCCTTTGCAGCCTCAGAACTGCAAGGGTGAGGGATTTTGCCTTGAGGAGAAAGCCACAGAGCCCTATGTTCCAAAATGGTGACACAGACCACAACAAGTTACAGAATGGTACCACCACATAGAATGTGTTCCTGGGAATGAGGTTCAGAGTGTTCACTACTCCAGGTACTCAACCCCTACAGCCAAGAGAGAAGAAAACCTGGCTATTGCCCCAGTTGGCAGCAGACCTTGGCATCATCCCTATGGCATTGGTTCTAGGCCCATGCAGAATGCAAGAGTTGAGATTAAGAAACTCCCACCTAGATTTCAGAAGAAGGCCTGGGAGGCCAGGCAGTGTGCCCCTGGGAGGGCAGTGCGTGGAGCAGAGTGAAAAGCCTAACATGCAGTGGAAACCCCAGAAGTTTGGAAAAGCCAGGAACGTGAACTGTTGGAGGAAAATTGCAAAGAGGAAGCAAAGTCAACTTAAGGGAGAAGGCATGGGAGTAACCAGCAGCAGCGGTGCCATAGAAGTGGAGTCACACAGAGCTCTCAATTTGCCACAGATTGCTCTGGATGTTCCACATGAAACTAGAGAACTTAATGTTTGCCATTTTGGATTTTGGACTTGCTTTGGTCCCAATGCTTTTTATGTCCTGCTGTTGTGTACCTTTTGGAATAGTTATGTTTTTCTTGTGCCACTGAATGTTGGAAGTGTTTAACTTTGATTTGTACAGGGGCTCTGAGCTAAGAGTTTGCCCTAGATCTTGGGGGAGACTTGGGAATTGGGACTGTGCAGCAATGCTGAAACTGTTAAGACTTTGGCAACTCTTAAGATAAAATGCCTTTTGTATAAAGGGATGTACACAAGTCTTTGGGGGGCCAGAGGTAGAGTGTTGTGGTTTGTGACTAGTTGTCCTCCCAAAGCCTCATGCAGCACTGGGACAGACTTCTAGAGTTTGTGATTAATTCCTGATCCAATACTGGGATTATGGGTGTGAGTACTGCACCCATGCATAGCCTGAGGAAGACAGGCTTGCTCACTGCTGCTCTTCTGTCTCTGTTCTTCCCTTTGGCTCTTGCTGTTTTCCACCACCACGAACTGCTGCCCTCTGCCATGTGCCAGTCTGCCTTGGAGCCAGCTAAGTATGGACTGAAACATCCACAAACTGTAAGTTAAATAAACCTTTCTCCCTTAAATTTTTGGTGTCAGGTATTTTCTCCCAGCAATGAGAGGAAAGTACGTAAGATCTAAATGAATGAAAGAAAAGAGAAGTCTCAGCTGCAGATACACACGTAGAAGTCATCAGAAAATATTTGGATAAACAAAGACAGGACTGATAGAAAAAAGAAGTTCAAAGACTGAGCACTAGAACATTCTGAAAACATTGATATTCACAAAGAACAGGAGGATTGGGAAAACTCAGGTATGGAAACTAAAGCATGGCCAGGAGAGTAAAAAGAAAATCAGGCAAGTGCTCTGGAAGTAAAGGAAAAATGTTTGGTGGTGTGGAGATGTGGTAAAGATGAAAGTAGGCAAATAAGATGGGGACTGAAAAGTAATCATCAGACCCAGAATCATGCAGGCCAACAGTGACAGCAACAAAAGAAGTCTGCATGAAGTGACAGTGAGAAGAGTACAATCCTGATTGGAATGGATTCAATGAAAAGTAGTATGAAAAAACACATGATAGCCAATAGAAGTAATTTTGCTGCAATACAGATCAGATAACTGGTCAGTAACAGGTGAAAGAAAAGGATTCAGAGAGGATTCATGTTTTGCTTTAAGATGAAAAAAGAACTGCATGTTTTTAAATTGAAGGAAATAATCTAATGATGAAGAAGACACAAAGTAAAGTGAACAATATACTATGCTGGGCAGGAGAATAGACGGGGTTGGCCTTAATGAGAAGCTTTTTTTTTTTGGTGGAACCAGGGATTAAACTGAGGCCCTTCTGCTTCCCAGGGAAGCGCTTATTCCACTGAGCCATCTCCCTGGCCCTTAATGGGAAGATTTCATGGCCCATTCATGGTAAGAGCACATATGAGTCCAGAGGTGTGCAGGTGGAAAATGTGATCAGAGCTTGTGGAAGTTATCTGCTGCTGGTTTCAGTCCTCCTACTGCAAGAGGAAGCAAGAACATTAGCTCAGAGTGAGGATGACTGAGATTACACAGGCAAATGGAGAGTGTGAAATACTAACCTAGGTGCTAAGGCTGAGTACATTAGAGTAATACAGTACATCTACCAAGTAACAAGCTGCGGTTGGTAAATATGAATTTAAAGTAAGACTAGTTAAGAAAGGTCAGTTTTCTCTTGTCACTTTGAATTCCACAAATATAGCAGAGAATTGAATTATAAATATAAACATAATAAAACAAGAGTAACAGAAAGAGGTAGGGAACTGAAGTGTCACACAAGGGCTAATTATAATAATTCTCAGTAGAACATAACCTGGGTAAGGAGGAACAAAAGTATCTAAGTGGAATAAGAAGTGAATGGATGGTATAGTGTGTTGAAAATTTTCATACTTTTAAATCCTCAGAATATAGTCATTAGCATGAAACTTATTTTTTTTTTTTTTATTTTATGGAAGGGTCTACAGGATGTTCAGGGTTTCACTACCAGATTGGACTCATAGTGATCCACCTGTTGATAGCCTCCCAAAAGCTGGAATTATAGGCATATGCCACCACGCTCAGTCTCTATCACTGTCTAAGCGCGCCCCGGGGGGGCGGGGGGGGCAGAGCTGGCACGGTAGGCCCGGGGATCGAACCCCTGGCCCCTGTGCCTACTTGAAGGCACTTTAATCTGCTGAGCTATTTGGCCAGCCCTGAAACTTAATTCTTGCCCCAGATCTGAGCATTACATTCTGACCTCCTTATTCTTTTCCTTCCCAAAAGAGGTAAAATTCTTGCACATACTATTCATGGTGTAGTACCTAATTTTTCCCAACAGTATGTTCATCCTTTTTTAAAAAAAATACTTTAAATTATAAGACTTTTTTATGCATTATATTTTAAAAACTTCAATTTACTTTACTTTGCTACACACTGTCCAATTATTGAAACTTACCAACTACTAGTATATGTAAAACCAACAAACGGCAGATGGTGTCCAGAAAATGCAGTGTGTGTTGGTGGGGGCATTGTTTCCTGCAGGAAAAGAAAATATTTGGTAAGAAATAGGTATCTGTAATTAATAGCTGGACTATAATGTTAATAAGAAATACATGGCTTTGGAAATACTACTTATTTGGCACAGATCTTTCATGATATAAAGGTTAGACCATGAACACTGATTCTGTAAAATCCTGATAAAATGAAGACTTAAAGTTTGAGAACACAGTCATTATTAATACATTAATGTATCTGTGAGTTTACATTAGAAGCTAACATGTTTGTAAATTCTAAATCACTTCCTAATGCATTTGAAATTATTCAAGACATAAAGAACATAAAAACTTGTTATCCTATATTCATATTCCTAGTTGAGGGTGAAAAGGAAACACTTTGTTTTCTCATTTAAGCTCTTACACTATAACCAAATGTCCTTTATAAGGTCTATTTGGTCCTATGACTTCCATATTTTTGGTCTTTTGCAGAAAATTTCATTTTTAAAAATGTCTTCTAATCATAACAATGAAGTGCTATCTAGAATTTATAAGTAAGGTAGCTTTAATGTTGTTTTACAGAGAAAATAATGTGTTAGATAAACTTCCTTCAGTTAGGAGTTACAAAGCTTTTACACATGAGTTCAACAATAATGAATCAACAATCTGTAATACACAAGTCAGGCGTCGTATCGCATGCCTCTAATCCCAACACTCAGAAGGCCAAGGCAGGAGCACTGCTAACAGAGGCCAGGCTGGGGTACAACGAGATAAAGGCCAGCCTAAACTATACAACAAGACCCCATACATAATATACATACCATATCAGGTACCTTTAAACAGAAGCACTTACAAAAATAAGTTACATATTCTTAAACTGATAAAAATGTTCTGACCAGAAACTCTTAGGCAGCTACCTTTGTATGTATTACACACAAAGCTAAAGGTCAATGTTAACTAATGCAGTGTTCACTGTTAATTGCACATTGTAAGTACTGTGAATAATCAGATTCACCTGTAGTACACACTCAACTTGAAATGCTAACGATAAATATAATTCCATTAAAATAGTGGCAAGGAAAGTCCACTTATTTTTTTTTCTTGTAAAGTTTAGGAAGAGAAAATGAAATAGAAGTCATCTGCATTGAATATATAACCAAACAGTAAAAAAAAATTATATATATATATATATATATATATATATTAAAAATATCCATACAGAATTAAAATACAGGGAGTAAAATAATTGAATAAAAATATAAGCTCAATCAGGTGCAGTGACACACACCTACAATACCTGCCTGTAAGTCCAGCTGCTTGGAAGGCTGACGCAGAAGCATCACTTGAAGTTTAAGGCCAGGCACCATAGCAAGACGTTATGCTCCCCCACCAAAAAAAAAACCGAACACCTAACTAAACAAATAAAAGCTCAAAAAGGAAAAAACATGAAAGTTTTATGTTTTTGCTTCCCTAAATTTTATCTCAATATAACTTAATGACTCACAGCAGAGGCGACACATCCTGTGGGGCATCTGACTAGACTGCTTGTCTGCTATTTGCCTCAAGCACAGCCATACCCTCAGGCTAGTAAGGGTCTTACTTTCCCCATTCATTTCATAGCTTATTTGCTACTTTTAGCAGCAATATAAGCAGTGTGGCTATTTGATCCTACAAATCAAGTCTCCCCACTCTAGCAAACAAATTGCCCATTTTTACAGCCAGCTCCCAAGTACTGGTACAACTGTCACAACCAAGTAGGTGGTATGAGCGAAGGGAGGCGGTATTTGTGATTTTAACCAAAGTCCAGTGGTTTTTCCATAAATAAATCTTTATTTCCCTTCAGTTAATATATTAAGCTCTGAACTGACTGGTTTGGGCAATTTTTGTCCTGTTTCATGGCTGGTTTTAGGGAGAGATGTGCCAATCCTTTTACTTTGCCATCATAAAATCAACTAGAATATCTCATCTGTCTTCATTAGGAAACCTATCAGCATAACTTATCTCAGAAGTAATCCTTTGAATTTTTTTCTTAGTTATAGGTAACTGTTGACCTCAGTTAACTTTCTTTTATTTCTAGATTTGTGATAAATAAGCCATGACTATTATACTTCGACTGTTAAATAATTAAGTGGTGCTAAAAAGAAATCCTAAAACATTACTTTTTTTTTTTTTTTTTTTTGTGGAACCAGGGATTGAGCTCAGGCCCCTGTGCTTGCCAGGGAAGCGCTTATTCTACTGAGCCATCTCCCCAGCCCCTCCAAAACATTACTTTATAATCATATTGAAAAAAAAAAAGTATCACAGAAGTACTTTATATCATACTTACAGAATTTTTTAAACAATCATCATCCACATCAAAATTTGATGTATCTGTTGGGCTACTAACTTCAGGAATATAAGGTGCTTCACAGTTTTGAATGTTATCCCAATCAATGCCATTAAAAAATGGGTGTTTCTTGAAGTCTTCTATTCCATTTTGACCAAGTCGATGTTCTCTGCTACAAATGAGTCTTCGAATAAGATCCTTAGCATTTTCAGAAACATCAGTCACTTGGGCTGGAAACTGAAACCTCTCCTATACAGAGAACAACAGAAATATAAATATGAATCATTTCTGAATATACACCAGAATTCTTTATTTTCTCAAAAAAGCACTTCCTTTGAAAGGTATCTAAAGGAGAGCAGAGATGAATAGATTATTTTGCTGAATTTTAATTCCATATGTGACTTAAGTCACTGATGTAGTACAGACAATATTAAACAGTATGAGCACAAATGTGCTAAATATAACATTTAAACGGATATGATAATAAAAGAATTCATTAAAAGCAGTAACATTTGACTTATTTCCATAGAATGCAGATAATAAAAAATCTTCATATACAATACAAAATAATCACCTGACAGTAGTAAACATTTTTGAAGAATACAATACCTGACATAAATCAAAGTATTTACTCATTAATTCATTTACTCCTCACAAAAATCTTCTTAGGTGACTACTCCTATTATAACAATCTTACAGAAGAAACCCAGACACAGTGCTCTAGTAATTTTCTCACACGTCACACAACCAGCAATTCAAAGCTGATCTTGAAATGAAGCTGTCTCACTCAAAAACCTGTGCTATTAAGTGCGCATTACATTAAAAGATTTCCTGTAACTATTTTCAGTTTCTCATCTCTTCACTGCTGTTTAGAGCAATATCTTTGTAGCATAAACTCTATAAAATTTATACAATAACTAATTATTAAGCAACTAATCATAACTACATCACCAGATTAACATTTCTTTGGGAGTATTCATATTCACATTCATCTTTCCTGTAATCACTCAATGTCTTCTGAAACATAATCAAAACCTTTCCTCTTCTTACTGTATACAATCTATTCTATTTCACTTAGTGCTATTCTAAGTGGATTCAAGCTTTGCAAATTTATCCTGCTATGAATTTATACTGTTTTTAATGTATAGTGATCATAAATAGAATAAATATTCTGTATATACATCTTTGCCATAATGAACATTTTTGTCTGGTGGAGTCTTAGAACTGAGATTAATCATTTTGTTTCCCGGATTCCCGGGGAGTGAACTGAGGGACTTCATATTATACCACAACCTTAGCCTGTAAAATTCTTAAATTTTGCGACAGGATTCCTAAATTGGTAAATTTCCTGGGCTGGGTTTAATCTTGTGATTCTCCTGTCTCAGCCTCTCATAGTGCTGAGATTACAGGTGTGAGTCACTAGGCCTCAATCTCATTTTTTAACACCTGTAACCTTCACAGAAAGGTTAGAATTTACAGTCCCATCAAAAACACTTCAGAAGGGGGCCAGCGAGATAACTCAGTAGAATAAGCACTTGCCTGGCAAGTGCAAGGGCCTAAGTTCAATCTCTGGTTCCACAAAAAACAAACAAACAAACAAAAAACCTCAGAATGCTCATCTCATCACGTTATTTACATACTGTATGTACATATTATTTTTTTCTTTATTGTTGCCAATTTGACCAAAAAAAAAATTATCATGGGGCATGTTGACATACACCTGTGATCCCAACATTTAGCAGGCTGAGGCGGGAGGATCACCATGAGTTTAAAGCTACAAAGTGAATTCAAGGTCAGCCTGAACTACATAGTGAGACCCTACATAGGGAGACATTTCTCAAAATGAAACAAAGAAATAAAATATCTCATTCTTAATTTTATATTATGTTGTTACTAAGACTGAGAATAGTATGTTTATATGCCTTCTACTCATGATTACGTGTATAGTAAGTACTGACTTCAACTGTCTATGACCTTTCTTATTCAAATAGAGATCATCCAATTTCTTACTTTAAACAAAATACAAAATAAAGTTAAAATTAAGACTTTTATGCATAATTTATGGGTTCTAATTATTTGTTATTGTTTCCTTTCCTATAAAAAGAAAGTGATTTTTCATTGTTTTAGAAAAATATTTTCTCTTTAATATCACATTATTTTACTAGGTTTTATTTACTATAGCTATTTTTAAAAAGTAGAATATACTAACTTTGTGGTTCATGATTTTTCCGTATGTCTCCACTAGAGATTCTGCATAGAATGGTGTTTCTCCATAAAGCATTTCATACATACAGACTCCCAAAGACCACCAGTCACACTCAGGTCCATATCTGCCTTTTCCATCTTCCATGGCTTGAAGGATTTCAGGAGAAATATAATCTGGAGTTCCAACTGCCACTGAGGACTGGACCTGAAGAAATTCACATTTTTATTAATCTACTGTAATATATTAAGCTAATTTTATATTAAAAATGGCTACAGTTATATACAATATACAACAGAAAATTATCTAATAACAAGTACATTTTGTCATCATCTGAGTTTAGTTTCCTGGTATATAGGCTAAACTCTTGTTTTAGAATTTTTTTGGTAGGTTAAACTCTTACATCATCTCTGTATTAATGGTTTTCTGGATGTCATAACATGGCAGAACCTTAATTATAGTTCTTACTTAGATAACTATATCTATATTCTAAATCATCATAACCATAAACAAATTGGATATTGGATTTATATTACTATTACTGATTTATTGATATTTCTTTCTGCAGCATATATATATATATATATATATATATATATATATATTCTCCACATAAATATATGGACCTGAAGATTTTACTATCAGATAGGGGAGCTGATAATGCAAGAAATGTAGACCAATAATAGAGATTATATTCAAATTAATGGAAAACTAAGAAAAACAAAGGTTAACAATATATTGTAGAGTAAAATATTTACTAACTACTAAGATATTTTACAAAAGGGGAAAAAGTATCCTGCAAAAAATAAAGTCTCACGGGGACAAGGAAATAGCTCAGTGGCTTAAGAGTCTGCCTGGCAAGTGCAAGGTCCTGAGTTTGATCCCTGGTACCAAAAAAGTAAAAAAAAAATAAAGTCTTAGGGTTGGCCAAATAGCTCAGTGGATTAAAGCACCTGCAAGCAGGTTCAGGGACCAGGGATTCAATCCCAGGGCCTGCCAGACAACCACACTGCCAGAGAAGTTGAGATGGGCAATTGAGACTGGGTGTGGTGGCACATGCCTATAATCCCAGCTCTTGGGAGGCTGTAAACAGGAGGATCACTATGAGTCCAATCTAGTAGTGAGACCCTGAACATCCTGTAGACCCCTCCCTAAAATACAAAAGTAAACAAAGTCTCAGCCACGTGTGATGGTACACACCTATAATTCTAGCATTATGGAAGGCTGAGGTAGGAGAATCACAAGTTTGAGCCCAGCCCAGATAGGTAGGAAAACCCTCCCTTTAATGAAAAAAGCAAAAATCCCAGGGACATAGCTCAGTGAAAGAGCCCTTGGTTTAATACCTAGTAGTCAAAAGACAATGGAACTGTACCTTGAAAGTGATGAAGTAACTTTCAATGTAGTATTCTCTTTGTAAATTATGATGTGTTAAAGACATATTTATACAAAAGCTGAGAACTATAATTCATAGACCCTTTTAGAGAAAAGTACAGAAAACATAAAACTGAACTCCGATGGAAGAATGTGATATGAGAAGCAATCATAAACAAGGATATTAATAAAGTTGAACATATATCTATATGGTTGTTAACCGAATAACACAATTTATTAAAAAAGCAGGAGAAAAAGCACAAGGAAAAGGTGCCTAATTATTACTATAGCGTTGAAAAATAAGTTTCTGTTTTATAGAAAATGTAACTATGGTTTGCTGGATTATGAAGAAGAGGAAGAGGAACAAGAAAGAGGGGAAAAAGTGATGAGAGGAGGGGAGAAGGAGGAAGAGAAGAAAAAAAGAAAGTTTTGCGATTTAATCCAGTCTTCCTACTGAGCTACACCCTCCATGTATTTTATTTAATTTTTTGGAGACAGACTCTGACTAAATCACTAATTCACCCAGGCTGGGCTCAAACCTGCAATCATTTTGCCTTAGGCTCCCAGAGTGCTAGGATTACATGTACCACCATTGCAACACTTTTAGTTCTCATTAAACAATAATTTTCTCTTCCCTTAGTGCCTGGCAACCTTTCAGTCTCTTTGAATGTGGTCTACGTACCTCATATAAATGGAATTATATAATAATTTTTTGTGTGACTAGTTTATACTACTTGGCATAATGTCCTGAAGGTTTATCTGTTTCATAAAATGTGTCAGAGGGGCTGGTGAGATGGTTCAGTGGTCTAAAGCACCTACTTAGAACAAACTTAGCAAAGCACAGGGACCACGGT